TACAACAAAAAGAACTGTTTGGTTAATGGCCTCTCAGCGCAACAGATTATCACTCCGATCTTATCACATATTGATGTTTGGTCATGGACTTTCCACGTCCACATACAACGTCCAAGGTACCCTGGGTGTGTTGGTTGTTGACATGCTGGGACACCGTGTCAAGCTCTGCCTGTTTCATGCATTGTCTGTTTTCAAGATACACTTTCGTTCTCACAGGAAATTTAAAGTTTACATACAGTCTCTTTCAAAATGAAGGCACTACGTTGTTTCAGCACTGCAAATTAACCTTTTTTTCCTTCAATAACAAACACGTAGTTAAGTTTAGGAAAAAAGAACAGAGTTTGGCTTTAGAATCTTACGGGACGCAGCACCGCTCTCCTGAGTGTAAGTCAGTGTTTGTTGGACCCAACCACCACCACTCCCACATGCCCCAGTTGGACTTTCACCACCTTAACTTTCGTCCTTGTCCCGCCATATTTCCCCCTGATGCTGCTGGGCACCATTAAACTATAACAGCAACCAGCCGCATGTCATGCCAACATTATAGGATGCCTTTTTTCCTTGGTGTCTGACGCCACAAGTCACTGCTCAAGCGCCTGATTTCGACGACTTTGGAGTGAGAACGGGCTCCTCAGCGTGCTTACACTGCCCAAACGGATGGCTATGAATTTTGTGAAGATGTGAATGTATAATTTTCTTTTGTTTACTTTGATAACAGGCAGATTTAATAAAATAAAATGTAGCAAACACAATTAAATACATTAAAATGGGTTTAATATTTTTTACAATTTAAGTTGCAATTTGAAGTTAGTAAAAACTGCACTCAAGTTTTACTCAGTATTTATAATAATTTGATAATAAGACATTATCCAGGAGGTAATTTTTTAAAAAGTTTTGCCAGATTTAGAGGGACTGCACGTGTCTTTATGGCATTATAAAACATTTTATCCGGTAGTTTTTGCATGATGTTTTCTTCTGTGGCCGCTAGACGCATCAGAATTCACTCCCCAGATAATATTTGATCATGACCTGTGCAGCAGACTGTGCATGTTGTGTCTGGTGTTATTAGACTTTATGACTAAGGTGTAGTATTTTTCTCATAGATCTGATTGTTCCTCCTGCTCAAGTCAGTTTTACTTTCGATGCTGGAGAAGAATAAACTGTGTGTTGGAATCTCACTCAGACAGCCCTTAAGAAAAATACTCCACATGGGGTGCTTTTCATCATGTCACCATGTCTCCTCAGTTCCCTCATTCTAATCGCTTCCTTGCATCTTAGCTCCTCCCAGCGAGATTGTGAGAGAAAGATGCGAGGAGGAGGGGCAAGGGCTCGAAATCCTTGGATCCATAACGTCTGTTTAAAGCCATGTCAGTTAATTCAAAGTGTGAGCCACATGTGAAGGTGCAGCACTTTTGCGTCACGCCCCTTGATATTGGACTTCTGCATAGTATACACCTGTGTTTCCTAACTCTAAGCTCCTCCAGAAGCCTCCTCTCTCCTCACTAGTCAAGCTGCATTTAAATAATTGGAACATCCTCTATAATGGAGGAGAGGGAGCGATATCCAGGTCACGGGAGGACAGAGGACGCGTGGAAGCATAAGTTGGCATGATGAAAAGCACCAAGGTCTTATTAACCTCCTTCAGTCAGACTTTGAGCCGGTTTGCGCAGGATACGACGCGACCTTCTGACATTTAAAACAATCTGAAGGCATTTTGGGGCTTTTACTCTGTCCTGTGAGTGTGTCGTGGTTGGGCTGCTGGACACACAGCAGGACGTGGATGTTTAGATCTGTGGAGGCTTTTGGGACACCCAGGTGCCTCATCAAGATGAGTGACAAGTGACGGAGCAGGAAGTGAAGGGGGAGGGAGGCGGGACTTATAATATATTTTCTGTCTCAGGGGAAAACCTGTATCTTGCTTGCTAATAAATACAGGTAGGCTAAATATAATGTTTTTGGTACATTTTCTGTTTTCCTTCTTCCCATTCCTGTCTCCGACTCACTGCCAGCCAGGCAGCATCTCTCATGCGGGGCATTTTGTATCTTTCATTACCAATATCACACAATAATTTCTGATTAAACACAACAATTACTACACACACTTATTTGCTAACTGGTTGAGGCCACGATTTCGCTGGTCAAGTTGAACCCCACACAATGCCAAGATGCAAATTTGTTTTGCCATGGGAAGCAGATGTTTTATTCACCCCCTGCTCACATAGAATTTAAGTGAACAGGCGTCAACTTTGTCACTGGTGTGGTTAAGTCACTGGTGTTAACCTCGCTCATGTGTGACTATGCTGTTAAGTGAAACGTAGATGCAGATGACTCACTGGTCCGCCTCTTGGTCCAGGAGGTCCCACCTCTCCCTGCTCGCCACGCTCGCCCTGGAAACAAATAAGATGTCAAATCGAATAATTATAAGAGTGACAGGCAGATAGTTTAATGTGCTTTTACATACTTACTCTGAGGCTTTTGCTTTATAATTAAATGGACTTAATTGTAACACAGTGGATGCTGCTGCAAACTCACTTGTTTCCCTGAAGACCCCATCATTCCTACAACACCTGGATCACCTGGGTTACCCTTTGGACAAAAATTTAAAAAACAGTAATCAACATATGACCATCAGTAATAATGTTTAGTGTTACTCAGTAAATTTTGATCATACCACTGCACCGCTGACTCCTTTTTAGCCATAAGCACCTGGCAAGCCCTACATACAGAAGAGACAAGAGATCAAACATAAACAAATCTCTCTGTTAATGATGAATCAGGGATGCTTCGGGGTCAGAGGTCACACTTACAGGAAGTCCTTGTGGGCCAGCATCACCTGGAGCCCCACTTTTCCCTGTAAGACCCTAAAAAACAACAGAAACAAACTGTCACAGGGATTTTCAAGTTCTCTTTAAGGACACATCCACAGATTCAAGCTGCAGAATTTCTATTTAAAAGCACACTTCATTGTTTTTTAGCCAAAATCAATTTCACACACTTCTGTAAAATATTAAAAATTAGACAGTAGTCACCTTGGACCCTGGCAGCCCGGGTATTCCCTCACGGCCATCTGGACCAGGGAGACCCTGTTGAGGAGAAAGATGAGAGGTTTACATAGATAATCACACAAATGTGACTCTCTTTAAATGAGGGCTGCACAACAGTTCCTGCCATTTGGATACTGCACTTGGCCATATTGCGATTTCGATAATATTTTAAATTATTGTACCGCCCTACTTTAAATGTAGAAACCACTCCGAACCAAAGACATAAAAAAATATAGTGCTCTTGAACAAAAGTGTTATGTTTCGGTGAAACTTGAGGCCACGCGTCTACAGGGTTTTGTTAATCAAAAATATTCATATAGCTGCATTATGGAAGGATAGATAGGCAGGGAAAAAGTAGCGATGGACAATAATATCGACATATCGAAAATTAGGTGGGGAAAAAAAGTGGATACATCGGTATTGGGTATCAGCCAAGTTGTTATTTATCAGCATAACAGATATCGGCAAAAAAAAAACAGTATCGTGCATCCCTAGAACAAAGTTATGATGTAGAAAAAATAAATGTTATGCAGCAGTGTTTGAAAGAAGGTGGATGTGATGGAGATAAAGCAATGCTCACAGGCTCTCCTTTTGGCCCTGGCACTCCTCTGATTCCAGGTGGACCTCGATCACCCTGTAAAGAAACAAAGAGGGAAACTTAAATTCATAACATGTATATTTAAATAACACATTTGAAAGGCAAACAAAAGAAATGATCATAAAGTCGTTGTTCAGTCTCACCTGCACTCCTGCTGGCCCGGGTTCACCTATGGCTCCTCTCTGACCTGAATCACCCTAAAAAATGTCATCATTTAATTATCTATTTATTTTTATATCAGTATTTATGTCGAAATAACAATAGGAGTGAGGAAAAATGGAAACTCACTGGGCCCCCCTGGATTCCCTGAGGACCTGCATCACCTGGTTTTCCCCGAGGTCCCTGTTTGTGGAGGTGGGAAATTAGTGGTACTAAGTAAGAGTTGAATTCATTTAATTATTTTACCATGCTTTTTTTTATTCAAAAGATAGAAACTTAGTCAAAGTACACCAATACACACAATAAACGTCAATCCAAAATGGTTCATACTTTCAGATTATTATCTCAGAATTAAGAGAAAAAGTTTTGATGGAAAAATTCCCTCTGTTTTTCTAAATCACTGAGATTATTATCTCAGATTCATGATGTTCTCATTAGAAGAAATCTTTTCTTCTTTTCTTAATTAACAAGATTAATATCTCAAAATTAAAAGAAAAGTTTTAATGAAAGAAATTCTGTTTTTCTGAATTAACAAAGCTTATTATCTCAGATGTGTGATTTAAGTTTTCATGGGGAAAAAATCAGCTCATGTTTATCTGAATTAACAAGATAATAATCTTCCTAACTCAGAGAAACTATTATCTTGATAATTTAGAAAAACAGTAGCAGATTTATTTTCCATTAAAACCTTTTTTAAGAGTTCTGAAATAATAATCTTGTTAT